TGACTAGCATCATTGATCAATCCATCAACTAGGACCCGTGAGGTTGGATGATAGACATGGATACGAGAAAAATAAAATTTTATGACTATCATCATCGATCAATCCATCAACTAGGACCCGTGAGGCTGGATGATAGACATTGATACGAGAAAAATAAAATTTTATGGCTATCATCATCGATCAACTCATCAGTTAGAGAACCGTGAGGTTAAATGCTATACTATGAGTCGAAGAAAGATAAAATCTCATGACTAGTATCATCGATCATTTCATCAACTAGGGCCCGTGAGGTTGGATGATAGACATGGATACGAATAAAAGTAAAGTTCATGACTATCATCATCGATCAATACATCAGTTAGAGAACCGTGAGGATAAATGATATACTATGAGTCGGAGAAAATGATTTTTATGACTATCATCATCGATTAACTCATTAGTTAGAGAACCGTGAGGTTGTATGGTATACAATGAGTCGGAGAAAAAGAAATCTTGTGACTATTATCATTGATCAACTCATCAACTAGGACCCGTGAGGTCAAACTGTATACCTTGAGTCGGAGAAAATAAAATCTCATGACTAGTCTCATCGATCATTTCATCAACTAGGGCCCGTGAGGTTTGATGATAGACATGGATACGAGAAAAAGTGTAGTTCATGACTATTATCATTGATCAACTCATCAACTAGGCACCGTGAGGTTAAACTGTATTCCTTGAGTCGGGAAATACTAAAATCTCATGACTAGCATCATCGAACAACTCATCAGTTAGAGAACCGTGAGGTTGGATGATAGACACGGATACGAGAAAAATATTCATTATTCGTTTCTCACGGTTGTGAGAATCCAAAATAATCTTATCCGTTTCTCACGGTTGTGAGAATCCAAAATAATCTTATTCGTTTCTCACGGTTGTGAGATTCCAAAATAATCTTATATGTTTCTCACGGTTGTGAGAATCCAAAATAATCTTATATGTTTCTCACGGTTGTGAGACTCCAAAATAATCTTATTCGTTTCTCACGGTTGTGAGACTGTAAAATAATCTTATTCGTTGAAAAATTATCTAGTCTACACTGTTAGACAGTAAATTCATTACCTGCGTGTCTCACATGGTGAGAAATTTTATTTTATGTATACTGCCACGATTTAACGGAAGTAAATTAATGTCAAATTCGTTCGTAAATAAGCTTTCACCAAACGGTAAGCTTTCAAAAATATTTTCTATTTCCGTTTTACTTATAAAGAAAGCAAGAAAATTGTTCTTATATTAAACATTCTGAAGGGCGTATATGACATATTTCTCACGGTTGTGAGATTGTAAAATTATCTTATTAGTTTCTCACAAGACCGTAAAATAATCTTATATGTTTCTCACAACCGTGAGATTCTAAAATAATCTTATTAGTTTCTCACAAGCGTGAGACTCCAAAATAATCTTATATGTTTCTCACGGTTGTGAGACTGTAAAATAATCTTATATGTTTCTCACAACCGTGAGATTCTAAAATAATCTTATTATTTTCTCACAAGCGTGAGACTCCAAAATAATCTAATATGTTTCTCACAAGCGTGAGACTCCAAAATAATCTAATATGTTTCTCACAAGCGTGAGACTCCAAAATAATCTTATTAGTTTCTCACAAGCGTGAGACTCCAAAATAATCTTATTAGTTTCTCACAAGCGTGAGACTCCAAAATAATCTTATATGTTTCTCACAAGCGTGAGACTCCAAAATAATCTAATATGTTTCTCACAAGCGTGAGACTCCAAAATAATCTTATTCGTTTCTCACAAGCGTGAGACTCCAAAATAATCTTATTAGTTTCTCACAAGCGTGAGACTCCAAAATAATCTTATATGTTTCTCACGGTTGTGAGACTCCAAAATAATCTTATATGTTTCTCGCAACCGTGAGATTCTAAAATAATCTTATTATTTTCTCACAAGCGTGAGACTCCAAAATAATCTAATATGTTTCTCACAACCGTGAGACTACAAAATAATCTTATTAGTTTCTCACGGTTGTGAGACTCCAAAATAATCTTATTAGTTTCTCACAACCGTGAGACTCCAAAATAATCTTATTAGTTTCTCACAACCGTGAGACTACAAAATAATCTTATTAGTTTCTCACAACCGTGAGACTACAAAATAATCTTATTAGTTTCTCACGGTTGTGAGACTCTAAAATAATCTTAATAATTGAAGACTTTTCAGATTTTAAACAATCAAATAAAAAATTTAAAAGGGTTGATTTTTAAATTATTACAAATGATTACTTTTTTATTTGCAATATGATATTATTAACAGCTCTAATCAGTGCGCTCGGTCCAAGGGTTAGACTCCTTCCAGAAAGTTCTAGAATGTTCATGAACGTCTATTTATTTCCGTTTCCAACGGGAACGTTGAGAGGATTGATAATATTGAATACAAAGGTTAAGATAGACAACAATGCTATGAGGAGGTAATAATTAATTGAATACGATGGTTAAGATAATCTACAAGAGGATGAGAGGGGAAACAAATGAAAGGGTGTGATGGAAAAGGCAATATAAATCAGAGTCATTTAGAATTCTGAACAATTAAGTCTAATTTACGGTTAATTAACAACCCTTGGCTTGAGCTTATTTAGTGTCACGTCAGTTTTTTTTGCAACGGAACTAGTCCAGTGAGTCCAGTATTTTCAAGTTTTCATCATATATTAATTCAAAAGTAAGTAAATAAGTGATCTTTTCCTTATGAAGCTGCTTCAGATCTAATATGGCCTCATTTTATTTTCATAAACAGCTACCTTACAAATCAACAACGTTGGGCCCGCTAGACGTGTGTGACCGATTGCTTCGAAGACAATTGATATCTACTATTTTTTGGTAAGAAAATCATTTTTTCGTCTCATCTTGTGATGATTCTATTTGTTTGTTAAGATTCTTCTACTAAATTATTGTTGATTCAGTTCCAGCTTTTGACTTGTTTTCCTTTGTTACTGAATCAGTTTCAGCTCTCAATCATTTTGCTTCTTTTGTAACCTCGGCTCGTGTTGAGGTTAGCTTCTTTTCTTTGGTTGAGATTCTTTTGTTAAATCAGTTTCAGCTTTTGATTAGTTTCTCTTTTTTACTGAATCAGTTTCAGCTTTCAATCATTTTGTTTCTTTTGTAACCTCGGCTCGTGTTGAGGTTAGCTTCTTTTCTTTGGTTGAGATTCTTTTGTTGATTCAGTTTCAGCTCTTGACTTGTTTTCCTTTGTTAATGAATCATTTTCAGCTTTCAATCATTTTGTTTCTTTTGTAACCTCGGCTCGTGTTGAGGTTAGCTTCTTTTCTTTGGTTGAGATTCTTTTGTTAAATCAGTTTCAGCTTTTGATTAGTTTCTCTCTTTTACTGAATCAGTTTAAGCTTTCAATCATTTTGTTTCTTTTGTAACCTCGGCTCGTATTGAGGTTAGCTTCTTTTCTTTAATAGGATTCGTTTTTTGATTCAGTTTCAGCTCTTGACTTGTTTTCCTTTGTTAATGAATCATTTTCAGCTTTCAATCATTTTGTTTCTTTTGTAACCTCGGCTCGTGTTGAGGTTAGCTTCTTTTCTTTGGTTGAGATTCTTTTGTTAAATCAGTTTCAGCTTTTGATTAGTTTCTCTTTTTTACTGAATCAGTTTCAGCTTTTGATTAATTTATCTTTTTTGTTAATTATTGAGATTCTTATATAAAGCACACATGATTCTAAACCATATATCTTTCTTTGAAATGAACGAAAGCAATAGCTTATTTTTTGTTTTTTCGTAGGCAAATCCAGATAAGGATAAATATCAAGCTAGACCAATGGCTAGAACCAAACAAACATTTCGACGGGCCATCCCATCAAAATCAATTTCAGCTGGTGGAATGAGATACGCGCTGAGTCCAGTGTCTTCACTAATGTTGAAAACCGGCCTCCTAGAGGAGTCAAAAGAATGGCAGCTAAATGTCCGCGAACTTCTGCTACTAATCCGCCACCACCCACACCATCGTCATCGGCTGCGTCAACTCCTTCGCAGCCAACGGCGGCCTCTATACCTGCGACCGGACTGGCTTCAACATTATCTGAGGAAGTGAGAGTCTCAGATGGTATTTACAAATTTGCAAAAGTTCTAAGAACACAAAAAATAAAGATTAAAGGTAGATGGCATTGTGTGAGTGTGTTGCGATGGAAAGACACGATTCATTTAAATTCAGAATTAAAATCTGTTGATTTGAGAAAATTGGCCAAAGCTCCGTATGGCTTGAATGAATCAGATAAAGCCCGAATTTGGTCTAGTAGGCCAAATGAAGTTGCACCCAAGGACCCGTCAAAGTTTTATTGTAAATTTTGTGAAGTTCCAGTCGAACTTAAACGCTTAATGCGTCATGAGACACGAAAATGTAAATTTCCCGGTGCTCCACGTCACATATGTACCGATATATGTGAAAAAGATTGTCCTGGCCCTGGTCTAAATCGACGATCATCTTCAGCTACATCCACGAGCTCGCATGAGACTTCGAGCTTAAGCAATAGCTCTTCCTCAAGAAGTCTTTCTGATCAAAGTGGTTATTCGAGTCGAAGTAATTCTTCAGGAAAGAGCAGTTTCTCGAGCTCGAGTAATTTTTCGAGGTCCAGCGGTGCGTCAAGCACAACTATTATCGAGAAGGTTGTGATGCCCGAATAAGTAAAATGATCACATTTTCGATATAATACTATAGTTAAGCCAAGAGGTGTCATTATTCGTGAGTTCTGTATCAGGTTGGTCCCAGGGATATGGTGGGCAATCAAAATTATTTAGTTCATCAATACGAAACGCGCCAAAAACTTCTTAATTCAATTTTTTTATATATCTTTCTGTTAAACATAAACTCATATACACTGTACTGTAATAACCAAGTTACTGAAATTGTATCACTTACATATTTTATGCTATAATAAACAAGAATTGGGTTGCAATCGGAAAAAAACAGTCAACTTCACGCATGTTTTTTGATATTGATGCAAATTATATAGAGCAATCCAAATCAATGGTTCGTCTTTTCGCAGCTTATCAAAGTATCACGGCTGTGGAAGACCGTTGTACCGTTAGTGGTCAAAGAGATCTATTGATATTTGTGGTTTTTTTAATTACATTAGGCATTGTCCTACTTTTTCTAATTGTTTCCGCTCTGCATGAGCTATACATAGTATCACATCGTGCTTTATGAGCATAACACCCAGCGGGTCTGCATTTCTACCCACCGTGTTTCGATTCGAATGTTTTATACACTGTCACTGTAATAAAGCATAGCTCTATGCAATTCAGAGACAAAAACAATTTCTATAGAAATTTTCATACATAATAATATCATATTGTTTCGCTTGTATTGTGGGAAAGTTTTGATGTATTATTTTGATTCCAGAAATTGCAATAATACCATAATGATTATTGGAGAGCGTACAATTCTCGAGAACTAAAGTCTCTAGTTGTGGCAGCTTCTTTAATATTTCTTCCAAGCGATTCCAAGTAAGTGCGTTATCATTGACTAAACGTAGATTTTTCAGTTTTGGGAAAGAAGGAAGAAAATCAGACAGATAGTGAGATGAAATAGTTCCGTTGTGGATAAACACCAACGAGATTAGACTTTTATTCTGGCGAGTTGGTTTAACCCACATATTGAACTTGTCATCAAAGTGAACTTGTAAGTATGCATGTTTAATCCTGCATGTATCAAAAAAGTCCCAGCGCACGTTTACATTTGAAATGTTCAGTATCAACACACGCAACTCATCAGTAAGTAGAATTTTACTCAATGAATAGATATTATCTTGTGATTGTGTCTGATCATCTATAGTTAAATTTAAAATTTGCAGTTTGCTAAGAGTACATCTGAAGGTGGAGTGGTGATACAAACTGAACAAGATCAACTTCAAACTAACGAGACTTCCATGCAGAGAATCATCTAGAGCGAAGCGCAACTCATGTTCAAACTGTTGAATATCTACAAGAGTTTTCATCTCATGATGATTTGCACTGAAATTAATATAAGAAAAATTTTGATACTGCTGTAGTTGATGGGTATATCATATTTTTTGCATTCAATTATTTCATATTGTCGACTTTCAAGAAATTGTGAGAATACATCACCAGTCATCGAGACAAAATGAATCAGTTGTTCATCCATACATTTCAGGTTGGGAAAGATTTTTAAAGACACGTTATTTCGGATAAGTAGGTTGACAAACTGTTCAGTAGATTTGATAAATTTAGCATTGTAAACAGCATAACAAGAATGGCACTGGACTTTTCTTGAAATGTAACCATTCGTTGGCTCACCACAATGAAGAAAGTAAGTTGAACGACACTTTTGCAATATTGCATTTAAATAAGTTGGGCACACAACAGCAAGAGAAAATAAAGAAGTTAAATCATTGTTAAAGAAAACAATACTAGAAAAAGATTCATACGACAATTTATTTAGATACATAGCTAGGCAGAATATAAGGTTGGAGAAACTTAAGGATTTGTAGCATTCACAGAATTGATGAAACTCTTTTTTATAGAATCATCTGCTTCAGCATAGTATGTACTTTCCTCACTAGACGAAGACTTGCGCGCATCTTCTGATTCCGGCATTTTTTTTCTATTAGAAGCTCTTGGTATGAATAATGTTTCCACAACAGGTTTTTCACTTACAAAGAAGTTTGTATTCAACTTGATTGGCAGTTTACTACTCGCTTTTACATCGTCAGTTTGATAAAGACCAGGATCTGTTTCTACGGTAGGTAGAGCACGAAAATCAGTATGTTCTTCCGACAGAATTATATTTTCATATATTGACCCTTTGGGTAGATATGTGTAGATAGTAGTAGCATTGTACAAACCATAACCAGAGTTGCGATCTGATTGACTATCTGTTAAACTGATGGAAGGTTCTAAGCGTAAGTGTGTATCATCGTGAGCGGTAAATCGTGAATATAAAGTTTTTGGTACAAAAGAGTGTGGATGTTTTTTTACTAGCACATTTTCATAAACAGTTTGAGGTGCAAGTTGAAAGTAATCCATTACGTCTTCTACGTTGAATATAAACAAGTTAAAGTAATATTCTATCTCTACTATAATATTAGTACTTGAAATCCATGGGTGACTATGAAAATGAATTGATTTTATTTGCAGAGAATGATTACGAAATGATGGAAGAGCCAGAGCAAAATGGCTGTGTTGGAACAGATACAAACAAAAGAACAGTTGTTGATGGAGGATCAGAGGAATATGAAAGTGAAGAAGATGATGGTATTACAATAATTGGCTCACTCTCATTTGGAAAAAGTGATGCAGCTCGTCTGGAAGACACTAAAGAAATTACGAAGCTAGTTGAGCAGTCATTGAATACAAATTTGATGGGGCCAACGATATCATTTATTGTTGACGAGAAATATATTATTTGCCAAAACACTGTAAAAATATCGACAAGTTTACGTGATAAAATATGGAAAAAAGCTATTGAACACCCGATGCATGCGCAAGCAATTCTACCACAAAATGTTGAGTTCATCGAAAAAAATTTACAAGATTTTGTGACACGAAACTACAAAGCTAAAATAATACATGCAAATGAGATTGTTGGTTTTCTGGGAACTCATTACATAAAAATGGGAAATTACAATTTTCGAAGACTATTAAATTCAACGAATTCACAGTTAAATTCACAGCTGAATCGTGCACCAGTTATTAATCATGAACAAATTGTGAACACTAAAACTGGATGTGAACCGAAAAAGTTTTTCAATGACTTTTGTTTGATTGTATTCAATCGACTGACTGCAAAAATAATTGATTATTCTATACATGGCTCTATTGGTAACATTAACACACTAATCACAAAATATAGCTTAACCAAAATCTTTCATAATGATGATGTAGGCAAACAGCTGTACAATTTTCTGACAGCTCCATGTTCACCATTTTATCCAAACATGAACAATCGTTTGATATCAGTACGAGCACACCCAGAGCAATCACTTGTGAATGCTTTCTGTCCAATTGCCTGTGCTTATTGTGCTTACTGTAAAACATTGCAAACAATGTTCGGTTTCTTTGCACAGAAAGGATATCATCACCTTACTACACGTGAGAGGATGAGAGCTGGTTTGAACTTAACCGTTGTTGATTGGTTTGAGCAAACACCGTTGGTGAAAAAAGACCGAATAAGAAAAACCGTCACAAGAAACTTGAGGAAACAATCCAACAAACACACCTGTATCCAAAAGAAAAAATAAATCTTTTTTAATAAACTTGCTTGAATGTTCGTCAGGAAATGTATCAAACTTTAAAAGCTTCGATTTTTTAGCAACCGGTTCAGCATCACTTTCCTGCTGTTGCTTTGCTGATACAAGCGTATTCATATGTGCTGGGCTTCTTTTTTTCTGTTTGCTATTAAGTTTTTTATTGCTGGTTTTTTGAGTATAAGCGTTCAGAACCTTGTAAAAACTCGAGTATATTGAAAAAGTGATCTCAATTTTATCATCAGAAAGTTGAGAAAACGTTTCACCATATAGATCTTTTAGATGTGTTTGTAGAATCTGGCGAAGTGATTCAATAAAATTTGTAGCAAGTAAATCTTCATTGAATGAATGCTCATCTTCAATCATAGATTTTATGTATCCAACAGTAGCAATACTAGAAATTGTTGAAGCACTTGGAGTGTTGATGAACATATCGTATAGATCGGTGTTAATCTTGTTCAATATATCATGATATGTATTCATTTTCTTAACGATGGGAGAAGTAGAGTGTGAAGAGGCAAATTCAAGTTTATCATCGGCATGCAAATTGTATTCGTTCACAATCTCAATAATTTTCTCTTTATCAAAGATTTTCTTTTCATCCATACCTTCTGGTTTACCGGATGCAACAGCTTTAGTCAAGAAAACGATTCTTGCTTCTGCTTCGGCTAGATCACGAGTCAATCTCAACACTTCGGCGTTTGATGAAGTTGGAATTGTGGTATTTTTTTGATGAATTTTTTTGCATCTTTTACAAGCAACAAGTTGCTTTTTCATTTTATCTATCTTTTTAAGTAGCGAGCTTTTGAACTGTTTCGTTTTCTCTTCTAACTCTTCCCTCAGTAAATTATTTGCTGCACCCAAATTTTCTATTTCACTTTGATGTTTGTGCTTCAGTTCATCAACATTTTTGGAACAAGTTTCGAGCTCTTGTGTTAGCTTTTCGTTCTGCGATATGCATTGATTATATTTGCCTAAGAAAAAGCTGATCTAAATCAGCTACTTTTTCCAAAAAATGAGATGACTTGTGGTTTAGTTGAGCTTTTTCTTCTGCAGTTATTATTTCTTCGAATTTTTCTTTCAATAAACGATCAGCTTCTTCTGGATTGACTGCGAGTTGATTCGTTATATGGTTGAGAAGCTTTGGTACATCATGTAGATAATTCTGAATGATATAGCTATTGTATTTACTGTGAGACATATTCAAATGTAACTATATTGCCGACACAGAAAAAATCGATAGAAGTAATTCAATTAAACCACATTAACAACACACACTTTTATAAGTGTATTTTAAGCAACTGTCATCACAGATAATCACCGGAAATCTGGATACTTCAATACGTGTATATCAAATGTAACTGCTCAAAAGGTGTTGATTTACAGGACTAGTCTATTTGATTGAACTCAAAAAATTACAAGTAACTTTGACCAGCAAGCCAAAATTAGTAGAATATGTGTTCACTGACAAACAGCCATCAATGTTCTATGGGCTCGTTTTCATAATTATCATCCATCGTTGATTCATCATATTGTTCGAGTGTTGAAATCGAATTTACGGCAACATGGAGTTCCTCATCTTGAGATAGATGAATACTATCAGGCTTTCTCGTCTGTTTTGGTTGTTGTTGCTGAACTTGTTCAACAGAATCATTTGCTTTCCTTTTCTCTTTGTGTGATGATGGTTTGAATTTATCAAATGTTTGTTCATCAGCAGGTGATTTCTGTGCTGCACTACCATCTACAGATTCAGTTTGAATCTGTGTTTGGATCGTCAAATCTGTGTTTGATGACATGAAAAGAATTCTCTCATTCTTCAATAAGTTGGCTTCTAACATCTTATAGAAACTTGTATAGATTTTGAGTTTGAGTGTATTGTCGTTGGTTTGCTGTGAATTACTTGGATCAACGTTTTCTACGCGTGACAAGCGTTCTCGCAGTATGTTTTTCATTTTCTCGATATACTCACGATCATGTGAGACCAGTGAAAAACCCTCTTTCTCGGCTTCTTCAACGAATTCAACAAGAGATTGTAGATAACCAAGAGTAACGATGTTTTTACAAACTTGCGATGATACATTGAATAGTTGAAATATATTTGAATCTAAATTGTTTACTATTTCATGATAAATTTCAACTTTAGTGACAATATCGAGTATATTGCGGTTCACAGCACGTACCTCTAGCTTTTCATTAGAGTAAATCTCATTGAAAGCTTTGATGATCTGATTCAGAAAGGCTTTTTTATCTGCAACATTAGAGTTGTGTAGATTTTCTTGAATACTCTTGTATGGATCAAAACATTGATCATTGTGATTATCTATATCAGAGCTATGTTTTTTAGCAGTATCTGCAAATTTCTTCGATTTTTCGGCTTGTATCATTAATTCTTTGCCCATTTCTCTGCATTTTTTTAATTGTTGTTGTAATGATTCGATTTTCGCCTCTGCTGCTGCCAATTTAGTTGTCTTTTCAGTGCTATCTTTGTATATTCGATCTTTATTCGTTTCACAGATAAGTACATCATGTCGTGCATCTTCGAGTCTCTTTTCCAGATCTATTGTAGTGTTTCTCAACTCATCAATTGTTTTTCTCATATTGTTGATATCGTCATTACCATTGGCTGTCCCTGTTATCGTGATATCCATATCAATAGCTCCTTGATTCCCATCGTCATCGGCAATTGTATTTATGTTGCTATAGATGTAACGTATCAGATGATTTATTTCACGTAATACAGTTTGCAATGGTGAATTGCTATCAAAACTTTGTGATATATTTTGAATTTTTTCATTAGCTCGAGCAACGTCTTCTTCATTAGTATCACTAGCTAAAACAATAGTGTACAAGTTCAATATCTCAGTAACATTTTGAATGTAGGTATTCTTATCTTTCTCTAGGTCAGCTATTTCTTTATTACAAGCCTTTTTTAAATCATCAACTGCTGCTAATTTCTCATTTCTCATTCTGTCTACTTCTAATTTCAGAATTTGAACATCATTTTTCAATGAGCTTCTATCTGCGATACACTTCTTATAAGACATGAGAAGATTTATACCTTCATCGACGACGGTCTGACTGAAAACTGCATCTTGGAGTCTTTTACCGAATTGAGCCTCGCTTCGGACAAGCAGCTCAAACTGACTCTTGAGCTTGTTGTATGCTTGAATAGTTTCCAAATCATAGTTTTTTTCAATTTGATGTACAAGCTTAGGAATATCATGTAAAATGGTTGATAGAATAAAATCATCAATGAGTGTATGTTTTTTCGTATCAATTTCCATTTTATTGTTTCAAGCAAAGTTCTTACTATGCCAGTCTATAAATGCACTTAACATTAAACGTTTCATTTTGGCTTGATTCAAAACTATTGGTACTTTATAAAAATTAGCATTGTTTTCATTTATAAAAAATTCCAATAAATAGGTAACTGTTTGTAACACTTGTAGGAAAAAGAGGTGCAGGTTAACTCTTGATAGCCAAGTCGGTAAATTATGCTCAATCGACCGATCTTCTACCGATGAGTCCATTAAATCTTCTTCAGGTCGATAGATGATTGTCTCCAGTTCACCAGGCTTGAAATACATGAAAGAATTAATTTTTCCATTTGTATGAGAAACACCACTTTCACGGGCATTGAGAAAATCTTGAAACTGTTTTCTGGGACAGTTATTAGAGTAAACATTTTTTAACTCAATTTTCTCGAGAAACATTTCTTTCTGTAGATCAAGTTGTGCTAAATGTGTGAAGAAATCTCTAAAACAGTTTTCAATGTCTATCAATGTATGAATGGAATGTCTCTGTTCTAGAGTCCAATTAATGAAGGTTCTGAGCAATTTCGATCCATTCCATTTCTGTGTATACTTGATTTGTGAATTTAACTTTTTCTTGTCATATTTTGTCTTCTTTTGAATGAAAAAAACTTCCAAATAGTCACTTCGCCGCATTGTTGTATCGGGAAAGTTATTGTTGAAAACACTAGTCAAGTCCAAGGACGGGTGCTTGGGAGTTGATATGAACAATGAATCAGTATCAATAAATAAAATGGTAGCCTGGTATGAGTTTACACATAACTGTCCTTTTGAGAGAATATTTGTTCTGTTGATGGCGGTTATTGCAGCTCCAAGTTGAGAAACCTGACGACTTGCTATTCCATAGATTGAGGAGACCGTTGGTTTCATGTGTCGATCTTCCATTTCAAGTCTAGATTGAGTTATCTTCGCATTGGCAAGACACATATTTGCACATTCAATAGTCCTGCATTTAACAACTACACAGTCTCTGTTTGTAACGTAGACAGAACATCCTGGCCAAACAAATCCTAATGTTACATTGAGAAATTTTTTTTGATTGAAAATGTCCTCATATGTAGGATCATCAGAATCCAGTGATGCATCGTCGCTATCTTCTTCATCATCATCTGACATGCCGTTTGTCGAGAAATCAGTAATTCTTGATTGAATAGCTGGCAGAACTTTGTCTTCAATGAGTTTCTTGTATTTGTTACAGAAATCGCGAGCAGAGTTGAATTCTCTGACAATTTTTGAGAGAACTCCAGGTCTATTTTTCCATATAATTATAACAAGTTGATCTCCTCTCATCTTGAGGTTCTCTTTGCTAAAAACAAACTCTCCACCGACATATTTATCTTCATAAAGATATTGGTAAGTCAGCAAATCTTTGGACTGTTTGATAGATTTGACTGGTATGGGAAGGATTCTTCTTGTTTGTTGGTTGCTCATCATCGCTGCCGTTCTACTTGCCGAGCATCTGACTATGCTTAATTTTTCTTGTAGTGAGGACGTGGTAGCTGTTTTTCTGCTTGTTGGTAACACGGTTTCATCAGTTATATGAGTTTTATAGTCAAATGCAACAAACTGGTCTGAATTCATCTCAATTGAGTCGAAGATATTATAAAGGATTTTAGCTTTGAAAATGGAGCAAGTTTCATCGGATATGTTTCTTCTATCGATGAGTGTAGAATACGCTTTATCATAGTCATAAGAGGATACATTTTGCATGTAGTATTTTCCCTGACACCAGTTAACCCCACCAGGATGTTTCTTCTCTTTACCATTCGGGTCAACAATTTTCACGTAATGTTCTAGTTTCTCGATAGAAAAATAAAAGTCCTTAGCTGATTGCGAATAATTTCCAGCATTTGTTGTATTTTTGTATGGATATTTTACGATACCAATATTGGAATTGAATTTACAGAGAAACACATTCAACTTTAGACCAATGTATAAACATTGATTTAATATGCGGTACTCAGAGAATCGATAATTGTTGAGATATTTATCAAGAGTCATACCGTTCTTGACTATTGAATTTATAAAACCAGTTTTGTGATCCAAAACGTTGAGAGTTGTCAGTAAACGTGCAACCAGCAATGTATCTTGTATATTATATTCCAATGAGTTGAAGATACACGGATTGTTTTTATTTCGAGCATGCGACATAGGTATTCCATTGCTGGCTAGCTCAGCAAACGTGAACCTTAAAAGTCTAGAATCTATGTCAATTTTTCTATCATTTAGAATGTGAGCGGCAACCGTTGACAATTTATGATTTGGCAACTCACTGAATTCGATGACACAACTTTTGTATAGATCAAAATTAATCTGAGTAAGAGATAAACTGCGAACGCCGGAGTCATGACTGATGAAAAGATTTAACTCTCCTTTGAGATTGTAGTAAACACAACGATTGTACAGGAACTCAATATCGTATGCATCTGAATTCCATCCAGTGATGTAATGTAATTGAGTTTTCATATGTATTTTGTTGATGGTGAATTTGAGAAGATCCG